TATATACATATGTATAATTTAGTACTCTTTTTATTATTACTGTACTTCAATTATACACATAACTGTATGATATTTATGCCAAAGCCTGCACTAGGGCTTCGGCAACTTCGACAGCAATAGCTGCTTCGGCTTTATCCTTATCAGTTGTCGCTGATGAAAGTTGTTGTTGAGCCTTACTAAGAGCCTCTGAGGCTGCAGAACGATCGAGATTCTCCAACAGATGAGCTTCCTCTGCCAGTACCTATTAGATATTCATTAAAAAATTATTATTATGCCATTACTTCAGTTCAGTAGAACTTAGGTACATTACTTGAACACTATTGTTTTCATTTATGGTAACTGTTCCTGAGGAAACAAACACTTTTTTTACTGATCCGTCTTCTTCGTATACTGTGACTACACCAGGTTTCAATACAGCTAAAGTGGGAACATGTTTCGGTAAAATACCGAAAGAACCTGAGAACGATGGCACATCCACTTGTTTAACTACAGATTGATCATAAAACACCTGTAAAGTTTTAATCGTGTAGTTGGTGAAATATTTAGATTCAGTTAAGATAGAAATGCACTTGTATACCTGATTAGCGCCAGCAAAGGTAAACTTCATTTGATCACTCGAAGCTGGTGCCTCGGCATAACTTCTGACTTGATTACGTACGTATCTCAAGTACGGCCGTAAATTACGTGCAAGTGTGGCCATTTTAATGTGCTACAACAAGAAAACGTTTAATAAATTTGAGTAAATGAACCAGTTACATCACAACTCGAGAACTATACGAATCGCCCATCTTTCAAGTTGAAACTCAGATCTGATACGCGGAACAAATAGAGTAATATAATGAAATATTATTTAGTTGTTTTCACGACAGGTTTAATTAACTTACTCTGGATTCGTTTAAATAATTTTCACACAACAATTATGTTACAAGTATCAGTAGAAATTTGTATTGAACACTGTGGCAAGGCAGCCAGACGAAATTGAATCTGTAGAACACCGATTCTATACAGTACACGCATTAGTGTCCGTTTTGTCCATCTGATGGCGTTATTGTACAAGCATAGATTAGGTGCAATGTAGTTTCGATGCGCCATGGACCTAAAGACCTGAAGAATGGATGATAGAAGGGGCGGACTTCCAAAGACGAAAGGGATAAGCAGATATAATATAATAACAATAAGTAATGGGGCGATACAGTCTTACTAAAGTGGAGAGACAGAAGAAAAAGTGGATAAGTCTAGTTATATATGTAGTGTATATAGTACTATTATTATCAAAGCGGTAGACTGTGAATTTACCGACCAATTTTAGTTTTGGAGCGCCTGTAGGCAAGGCAGCCCGACTTGTACGGTTCTCGGCCTTCGAGGTCTATTTTCTCATCATTTTAATGTATTTTTGGAATTACTCAATTTGAAATTCATTAGGGCTGCTAAATTCTTTGTGCCAGTTGCAAGCGATACTTTATTTTCTTTAATGGCTATTATACTTTTACGATGGTTTTAAATATTCTTTAGTTGTGTAAGATAAGGGCCGGCGCGGGTCGTTTGAAAAACTGATTGTCAACCTGTATTTTCTTTCATGGCCTACATGCGAAACATTTTTATGCGTCATTTACCATATTTATGTCCTGCACCATTAGCAGCGTACGGCCTTACTGTAGTTTATACCCTGTCGCCAGAAGGTGCAAGTAAAACGTAGCAACATTTTTTTATTGCTCGATCGTATCAGCTGGTCGTGGCACGCACCAAAGATTGCGTTGTGAAACGACATGCTCGCGAGAGAATGGTTTATTTTAAAAACGATCCAGGCAACTACATAATATTTTCAAGAAAGCTGGCTTAAATCAAACTTTTTTACTATTATAACGTTTCACCTAAAGAGCAGGCTTATCAAGATAAGAGCTGGGAAGGAAGTTGCCAGTTTTACGGGTGAAACGTACTTAAGGCCGCGTTGAATGACAAATAAATATGCTAATCGGTATTCGAAGAAGTTGAATGCCGCGCATCTTGGCTTTTGCAGAGCATCGAAAGAAGAAAGTTAAGGCAAGTTTCTCGGTGCGCCGCGCCGCGAAGGGAGAAGCGCAGAGAAAGAAGAGAAACAGGATCCGGAGGGTGAGTTCCCTTAAATAATAGAAAATTCAAAGGAAGTTGATAAGCCAGGGCGCGTTCAAACTTTTCACTCGCCTTCCATTTCTTATTATAATGAATGCATATCGGCTTAGCCGAAGAGCAACGGACGTAAGAACCCTTTCCCGGTTTTTGTGGCCTCGTACGCCTCGCGTAATATCGTTTGTTTAAACGCCGTCATGCATTGCAAAATAAATAAAGTTTTTCCACGCGCGAGGGTTCTCTCCCGATATTAATTCTTTCACCGCGGACGTCGTCATTCCTTGACGAGTTTAATTCGAAATGTCAGTGACAGATTGCGTTCGTCGAACCACATGTTGCCAGCCGACATCCCACGGAATCGTGCTCACATCCCGCGCGTACGACGAACATACCGTCGAATATTTTGGCTATTATTATTACCGCGGCTAGCTTGTCTTTCTGCGTGACGGCTGCGGCACGCCTGTCGACCAGGAACCGTCATTTTCATTCAGGATCGATCGTCCGATTTTCCACGAAATTGTTGCTAACCGAGATATTCGTTCCATCGCGTGTCGTTGTATGAAACTTCGAATAGATTCGAAATTACACGCTGAAAATCTCGTATAAATATCGATTCGGAAGCTGAGGACGATGGATTAAAAAAATACTCGAGGAAAATTTGAAGATGAATTTCTGAGATATGAACATTGCCAACTTTCCGCGCGGTAAAGCTTAAAAAGGGTTACTTTATTAACAGAGAAGGGGAGGCGATACAATCCGCGGAGACAAATGGCCCCGGCAACGTTAAATCATCGCGAAAATGTTAGTAATTTAATAAGCAATTTCATGGAAATTCAGCGATCGTTAGCGTAACTAGTTTCTCGTAAATTCACAGGATATTCACGTTTTCCTGTTCGATAAAAGTTAGGAAAAATGTGTTCGCGTGTTAGCTTCTTAATTCCCCAAAGCGACTCGTTGCTTCTTACATCTACATCGCGACTGTTCTGAATGCGATCGAAGTTTCAACGATGATGCAGAGATAATATTCGGAGGGTGAGCATAAGTCGATTGACAGGGTCTTTGAGGTGAGAGGCTTCGTTGATCCTTCGTTGATTCCGCTTGTGATCCCGTCGAATCGATCATTCGTCGCTCAAGAATATTACCACGTGTCCACGGGAATCCGAGTGACGCGTATTGCAGACAAAAGCCGAACACCGCAATAATGCTGTTCAAATTGCTAGAATCCAAGGATGATTACTCGATTTTCTTGGATTTATTACAGCAAACGATCAATACAAAAGAGTTCTCTACGCATCATGAATAGACTGCAAACTAAAGATTAATTAGAAGATGAAATCTAACGAGAATTCCTTAAATTCATTAAACATTATGATATGAATTTGTCATGTTTTTTCTGAACTCCTTATAAATGGACAAAACCTGCAGTCTACAATTTTTAGTTTTTAAATTTTTTTAATGAATTCTACGAAAAAATCTGTATGAAAAATATTCGTGATGCGTGCTTCTAAAGGCTTAGGAAGCTTTATGCGGCTGTAAGTATGTATTATATGTGTGCACGCGCGGGTGTGTGTACCCGGGCGCGAGGGAAAGAGCGGAGCCAGCGTATGGTTGAATGGGTGAATATGCGGAGGACAGCGTGGCTCTTTGCGCAACCCCGAAAGCAATATATCGATGTTTAGCAACCAATAAACGGATCCCTCAAAGAGGGCTTTTACCGTAAAGCGGCGGTGCTTCGACGTCTCGTTCCTTCCATGGATGCGCGACCGCACACGCTCATTCCCCGGTGGTACGTGCACGATCCCGCGAGCGTGTGAGAGTGACACGTTAACGGTGGCAACCGAAGCACGCCGCTTTTATGGCTCAAAGTAAACGCATTTATAGAGCCGTTTTGCCACCACCGCGTCGGCGTAACCTCGCGACCGACCATTTAACGCCGCTTTTATGATAATGTTATCAATAGCTTCCTTTCCAACCTCTATTTACCGATTATTTACGAGCCACGTCTGTCATTCACCCGTCTCAGCCCGCAAGGGCTTTACGATCGGTTCTACACGTTTTTCCGGGATAAATACCTCATGAATGCGAAAATGTTCACTTAGGCAGAGATTGAACCTTGCGAATGTTTACTTCAATTTTTGATACTAATGGGTACATTTTGTTATACGAACGTACTCGAACGCAGACGGTTTACGCTTTTTACGTTTGTATAATAAAATACACGAGGTAAGGGGGGAAGGAATCAAGTAGTGGCTGTCGGAGACTAGGGATACTAAAGGCGCTCTTATATCGTCTCTGGCATCAAGATGTCACTCGCAGATTCTTCATAATTCTCTTGTGAAGTAGAGACGAATAGCTAGGGCGACGGGTGAGAAAAATACTTAATTTTTATCTCTGCAAACGTCCCCATTATTGTATATTATATTCGAACTGTCGTGAAAGAGCTGGCGATGTGGCAGCGGCGGTGATGCATTTGATCCTCCATAGCTCCATAAAAATGCTTGTGTGTGGAAAGTCGGGAAAATGTGAGTAAAAAGGCGAACCATTGTACGAATCAGCTTCCTGGAGGGACAAACGGCAAGAAAGAGGAAAGACAAGCCGGATGGAGGAATCGGGGGATGGTAACGAGAAAAAGAAGCGGAACGAAGGAAAATGGTGAACCCTTGCTGACCAGTGGCCAGCGGCGTTGACGTATATGCGCCGGGAAAAGACAGGGTGCACGGAGTGCTCAGTCCTTGGCTCGCCCACACCCAGGATTTCGGGGGAGAATCCTTGAAAACCGGAGACCAGCATGCCATTGGCCGCTCCGAAAGCTTCGTCTGAGTTCGGCCAATCGTGGCCCGAGCTGATAACGGCGGCGGTTCTTCTCTTCGTTCCGCCTCCTCAAGACGGAACGCTATATCAAAGCCGAGTGTATATCGGTCGACCTATATCGTCCACTTGTACGCTCCTTTATGTACTAGCTATGTAGAGGACGACCATCTTTTCCTTCGCGAACGAAAAATTTCCTGGACCGGGTCACCCCCCCCCGGGTCGTTCACAACAGCGCTCTCCCTTATACTGCCTCTTCTTTTTTCGGACATCTCACGGTGACCGAATTGCTCCCAAGCAATTCTTGCAGTTTATACCGTTTCGAGGAGGACGTTCGAATTAAATTGCAACGTTTGAGCCGGGATCTGTTTTTGATAAGCTTCGTGGGATCATTTATTTTCTTGGATAAATACACAGCGAAATACTAATGCTTGTAGATGATATCGCGTCGCATTACATTATTAATATCCTTATCAGTGCGCAGTGATACATAAAAAGCTGTGACAACATTAGATGCAATTAAGCGTCCAGTATACATTTTTAAAGTACGTTAGTACTAATTAATACCATCGTTTAGCGTCCGATGAATAATTGTTTTCACGCTGTTAAACAAGCTCAGGTTGAAATGAGGGCTTGTGCGATTATTCATTTCGTTAACCAGATTTTCACAGGGATGCGGGACGAGTAAATTGAATATCATAGATAATCTGAATCGAGCGTGATTGAGCCTTAATTATAAAAGAAATAAAACCGATTCGAACGTCGATTAAGGTCGGTCGGTTTATCATTGCGGTCGATCGCAGGTGGTAGCGTCGTTGTTCCAACATCTTGGTTCGCGTGCGGCGTTCCACGAGGCTGTTTAACCGTCCTCCTTCTTTCCAGAAGAAGGTGCGCGCCGCGCTGTAAGTGGTGTAATGGGCTAGCCCCTTCGGTTGACAAGATAAAGGGTGACGATAAGGCCTGTTCCAAGGGAGAGCCTCGAGAAGGGTGCGTGACTGTAGTGTAGCCGCGTGACGCGTGTAATAACCGTAGCGCTACTTCTTGCACGCAGTGTATAAACCAACGTATAGTCGTGCACCTTGCACAGGTGCCTTTTCGCCTTGGATTCATCTTTCCTTCGATGCGCCCT